CTGGAATAGGGCAAGATGTCCCTGTCCATGGATGGGGTTGGAATGGGATGGATCCCAACCCAAATTATTCCATGATTCTGTGATCCAGCCATGCACAGTGAGATGACACCATCTGGGCTTTTTCCAAGCCACAACAGGGTCCCCACCGACTTCCAGATCCCTAAAATTCCTTTCTTCCCACCACAATCCCCCATTTCCCCATTTCATGACCATCCTCCCTCCTCTTTTGGACTACAGAGCACAGACCCACAGAAACCACCAATATCCTACAGAAACTAGGGATCCAAGGAGATTCCCTTCTCCATCCCTGTCTTGCTGCCAGATCAGCTCTACCTGGGCCAGGTCTAACCTGCTTCCATATGGGAGACACTTGTTCCCATCAATGGGAATATGATCAAGCACTCCCCAGGGATGATTGGGATGGGATGGGATGGGATGGGATGGGATGGGATGGGATGGGATGGGGTGGGATGGCATTCCCAAGTTCCCATGCATGAGAAGGTGGTCAAGCTCTCCCCATGGATCACACATGGGATGGGATAAAGGATGGGATCCCAGCTTTTGTCCCACATAGGAAGCAGCTGAGGATGAGGGGCCTTGGGGACAGGCAAGTCCCTGCTGTCCTTCTCTCATCCCAGCAATTTCTTGCATCCAGGCAATTTCTGGAGCTGAGCACCCTTGGGTGCACCTGAACCTCCACCCTTGTGACACCCAAGGGGGGCCAGAGGATGTGGAGCTACACCTGTGTCCCACGTGTGACAATTTGGGACTGGGGTGGCTCAGGGTGACAAAGGGATGTGGAGAACAGGATCCAGCGTGCCCCAACTGTGCCCTCTAGTGCAGCTCCACCAGGTGCCATCACCCCTCCTGAACCTGCTGGTATCACCCCTGCAGGCCCCAGCCCTACAGCTGAGGTCCCCAGTCCTGGTGGCTCTGGTGGCTTCACACCCCCCTGGTGAAGCCCCTCTTGGTGGCCCGATGAACTTCTCGGTGTTTGCTGCCACCTGAGGTGACACAGAAGGGATTCTGTACCTCCAAGGTGCTGGGGGACATGGCCAGGAGGGGACCTTGGGCCAGGAGGGGACCTCGGACCAAGAGCTGACCTTGGAAATCTCAGAGAGCACTTTGGCAAAGATTTTAGGATCATCCCAGGCGAGCAATTCCCTTTCTGCAGCCCCACAGGGGGATGAGGAATGAACGCTCCGGCTTTTAGGAGCAGAGTGGTGCCCCCATTGCTTCCAGGAAAATTCCAGCCCTTTGAGGGATGGGTTTTGCTATGGGCTCAGGGTGCAGCTGCACTGCAACGTTTGGCTTCACTCCTTGCACACTTTTCCCAGCAGGATTTTTCAGGATATAGGGACCAAAACAGCTATTTATTCCTTTTTATCGGGATGCACCAGACTCCAAAACACCCCAGGGACACCCTTGCCCACCCTTGGGTGCCAGCGTGCGTGGAGGGTGCCAGGCTGGGCAGATTTGGGGGGGTTGTGGGCAGTGAGTGCATTGCACAGGGTGCTGCTGCCCTCCAGTGGGCTCAGGCTGGAGGGGAGGCTGGAATGCCATACGGATGCTTGGGAAGGCAGAGGTGGGGCCGAGGATGTCCCTTCCCATGGGATGAAGCAGGGGCTGGACAAGGGATCCCACAGAGAAATCCTGGAGCTGGAGAAATCTTACTCTGCCCCATCCCACTCCTGACACGATCCCACTGCTCCTCGACCAGGAGTGGTTGGAGGCAGCTCCAGCACTTGATCTCTCTAAAAAATTCCAAATTTATTAGATTTATTAGCAGTGAGAGCACCTGGCCTGGCTCTAATGTCCCACCACAAATCCACATCAACCCTGTAGATCTTTTCCCTCTGTTATCCCCAGGGAAAGGCAGGAGCATGGATTTGGAGCCAGCAACAGCTCCAAATGGGATGTGAAGGGACAAGGACACCACAGAAGGGACCTTCTCCTCTTGTGTTGTGTCATTAATGAAGGAGGGAATGCAATCCCCTTCCCACCACGCTGCAAGGGCTGGTCCATGGGCTGGGAGATTTTTAGTATGGAGGGTGAAGCTCCAAGAGGAGGAAAATCAGGAAATTCGGGTGAATCCCATGGTTTTGCCAGGATCTCCAGCATGGGATTTCCAGGCTGTTTTCTGACTCAAAGGCCCTGGAAATCATCAGTGATTAAAAAAATCCTCTTTCCATGTCCTCTCTGCCCATAAGAGCTGCATGAACTGGTCCCAGTCCAGGATATCCAAACATTCCTCGTTTGCAGATTCCCCTGGAGCTCCTCTCTGCATGGGCAGAGAGACCTCAATTTCTTGGTAAATGTAAAGTTATTTTTGCCCTATTTTTTATGGTTTTGATTATGTTTTATCATACAGGACCTCTCTGCCTCCTGGTCAAGCATGGAAAGATCCAGCTCCATGAATTTCAGGAAGGAGGGAAGGAGCACCAGGCTCTTGCTGATGGAGCACGGATCCCATCTGAGCACACGTCACTGGAGGGGGAGGCAATCCTGGCTCCAGAGTCACGAGTTTCCCACATCCACTGAACGTGGGTGGGAAAAGGATCTTTTGCAGCAGAACAACTTCACTGTGGGTGGCTTCCAAAACCTGGCACAGGAGGGCTGATGGAAGGGGAAACTCCTTAAATTCCAAAATTATGATCCCCCAAAAAAAGCTGGATGCTGTTTCAACCCTGACTTGGTAGACAGGACAAAAAAGCTCCCACCACCTTCCTTAAATAAATCCAATTTTGAAAGTCCCAGCCTTGTTTTCTTCCCATTTTAAGGGGGTTTAAACCAATCTTTCTCCTGTGGGATGTGTGTTCCCATAATCCAGCCCCAAATCCATGGGTTTGGTCATCCTCCCAGGGTGGTGGGGAGGTGGTGTCCAGATCCCAAAGGAAAATAGGGGGTCCTATGACAAGGATTTGCTGCTTTCCAGCCTAAATTCCCATTGATGAACTCTTCCAAAAAAAGGGATTGGATACCCTTTATGGAACAAAAAAGCAGCTTAAAACCTGCTGTGTGAAGCAAAAATTCCTTTCTTGACCAATTCCCTTATTTTTTTTTCCAGGGGAAAAGCCCCCAAGGGATCCAACCTGAGTCCCACCCTTCACTTCCCATGTGATTTCCATGAATTCATGTGACAAAGCCACCATTGCCCATTGCATCCCCCTGGAGAAGGAGATCATGGCTCAAATTTAATTTGGATGCTTGGGACCTTGGTTTTCCTTGGAGCAGTCCAACCTGGAGATCCAGAGGATCTCTCCCAACCTCAACAGCTCCAGATTTGTGCAAAAATAACCCAGAATTGACTCTTGATAGGAGGATCAGCCAAGGTTTGTTTCCCATCATGGGTGGTGCATCCGTAATTCCCAACAAAAATGCTACAAATCGGGTTTGAATCAGTGCTTTTTAATCCATAAAAGGTGAGAATCCATGTACAAATTAAAAAAACAAACAAACAAACAAACAAAAAACAAAACAAGCCCACCATAAAACCCTGGAATTAGGGAAATCATCCCAATCCCACAAAACACAACCCCTTTGCCAAGGCCGGGGTTGGGTGACGCGGGCGGAACGCGACGGCTTCTCCTAAATAAATCCTTCTCCAGCTCGCAGATGTCTGTGGTGGCATCCCACATTTTTTAGGATGTTTTAAGGGCAAGGTGGCCTTTTCTGTGACCCCACCCCCTCCTTTCCATCCTGCTCCCACGCCAAGCAGCCGGGAAGATGACGTGGGAAGCCTGGCTGCTACAGATGGCCCCGTGCTGGAAGGCGGATCCGGAATCCGGTGTGGTGATGCTTTGGCTATAGAGAGGCCTCCTGGCTGATAGCAGAGCTAAAAACCCCCTCCTTGAGCTCACAAAATCCCAGGATGGGCTGGCTTGGGTGGGATCTTAAAGTCCCCCTGCCATGGGGCAACTTCCACTATCCCAGGCTGCTCCAACCCTGTCCAACTTGGCTTTTTTTCCTGGAAGTTTTCCTTAAATAAAATCAGGGTTAAGAGCCTGGAAAATGGACAAGGAGCCATTAGAAGTCACAATCCCAGGGGGCACTGTGGCTGCAAGATCTCATTGTTCCTTCAAACCACCCCTAAAAATTCCTTAAAAAGTACAAAAATACAACCCCATCTCTCCCAAGGGAATTTCCTACCTCCCAAGATCATCCAGACACAGAAGAACACACAGCTCCTCAGCGTTCAGAAAAAAAATAACTCACCAGGCAGAAACAGGATGGAGGAAATTTTGCCAATCTCTTTTGTGGATCTGGAGTCTCCCAGCATTTCCAGGACAATTACCAAGATGCCTGGATGCATCAGGCCAGCCCAGGAATGCTGACAGCAGAGTCAGGGAATTAGCAACATGTGCGAGATCCAACAGTAGCAAAAATTTAGGAGTTTAATAATCTGGAGGAGATATCTTCCTGGAATTTTAATCTCCTCCCAGGAAAAATAAACCCCCCCAAGGCTCTTAGCTATTAATCTCCTCACAGAATATTTAGGGCAATCCACGTCTCCTGATTAAAAAAGCCAGACAACAACTGCACGTTAAGTCCTTCCCTTTTCTTCCAAAGAATCTGGCTGGGCAGCTGGGCTGGATTTTCTGAGCCAGGATAGGGGTTCATTCCCCAAAAACACCACCCCAAAAGCACTAAAAATGGTCAAACCATCCTGTTTTGTTGGGATAGCCCCAGCTGGGAGACGCTGCCTGGGTTGGACCCTGTGATGGGATCACCACAAGTCATTGATGCCTGTGCTGTCCTCTCTCCCAAAAAAGAGGAGTCTGGAAGGATTCAGCTCCTCCAGCAGCTCTTGGAGAGCAGCTCCACCTTGTACCTTGCAGAGAAAGCCCAGGAGATGCTACAGAAGGTGACACTTTAGCTTTAATGTCTGGGGCTGGCTTTGGCCAAGCAGAAGACACAAACCAGGCCCTGCTTTAGCACAGCTCCCCCCCGACCCCCTTGACAGCAAAAAAAAAAAAAAAAAATTAAAAATCCCAAAATTAACAATAAACCCGAGTTTCCCCCAGACTGTGGGGGATCGTTGGACACAGGAGCTGGGAGGTGGAGGTGCCTCGCTCACCTCTCGGCGCGGATCCGACCAGCGGCGCATTCCCGGGTCTGGGAGTCCTCACAGCCCAGCCAGGCTTGGGAAGCTTCCCAGGCAGCCAGTCCTGGAGCTCCATGGAGCATGGTCAGTACATGGCCTCGTTGTCCCCCACAGCAGTGAAGGGGACACCGCTGTAGGTGCTCTTCTTGCTCCTCTTGCTCTTCTTGCTCCACACCAGGAGCGTGCTGGCGCTCTTGCTGTTCATCAGGCTCTTCCTGCTGTTCTCCTTGTTGCTCTTCAGCATCCCAGATCCCGAGGACATCACTGCTGCCTTCCTGTCCACCTGGTTGGGAAAGGTGGAGAGGGGAAGTGAAGCCAGGGCAGCACGCAGAGCTCCATGGAATTCTCTGGTTTCCCATGGGACGTGACTTACAGCTTTGGGACATTCCGAGCCCTGCAGGGTGATGACTCCAATGTCCACCCCCTCCTTCCCGGTGCTCTTTAGCAGCTGGACAACCTCAGCGTGCTTGGACCACTTGCAGTCTTTGCCATTCACTGAGATGATGTAGTCCCCCTCCTTCAGCCCAGCTTCCTGCAGGGAATGAGGGAAAACGTGCAAAGAGAATCCTGGAATGGTTTGGAAGGGACCTTCAAAATCATCCGGTCCCACAAGGGACACTTTCCACTAGCCCAGGTTGCTCCTTGGACACTTCCAGGGATTGGGCAGCCACAGCTTCTCTGGGCCACCTCTACCACCCTCACATCCAAGAATTTCTTCACAATATCCCATCTAACCTCAACCTCTGGCATTGGGAAGCCATTCCCCCTCATCCTGGCATTCCACCCCTTGTCCCAAGTCTCTCTCCAGCCCTCCTGGACATCTCTGGGGACTGGAAGGGGCTCCAAGCTCTCCCTGGAGCCCTCTCTTCTCCAGGCTGAGGAAAAGACACAACTCTGGTTCAGATATGGACCATCCCTGGTCCACATCCCAATCTTTGGGGAGATTGTTGTTCCAGAGATGGTGGGATGTGGATGGATGGGTTGGTATTGAGGGAGCAGGGAGACCCTTAGGGCATCCCACCAGGGAAAATAAAGCTGCCCCTGTTTTTTTGGACGTGCCATCTTGTTCCAGCCACTGTCACATCCCAACACGAGGGACAAGGGAGCTGGATGGGCTTCCAGCAGTTAAAAACTGAGCAAAATTCCATGTTTTCCCCTTAGCTATCTCCTAAAAATTAATCTTAATCATTTCCTGACGCCCACTTGCAAACCCCAGCCTGTGCTCCAGCAGGGATGAGTCTCCTCCTGAACTGTTTCAAGACCTAAAAACACCTGGAATCCCTCTGGGCAGCTCCCTTCTGGCATTCCCATGGGAATAGCAAGAAATTGGGATACTCACAGCAGCACAGCCCCCCGGGATGACCCCGGCAATGAGGACGGGGGAGTCTCCTCGCAGGGTGAATCCAAAGCCGTTCTCTCCTCTCATCAGGTGGACTCTCCGAGCTGGGTACCACTTGTTCTTGGCTGAGAACACGGAAAGGGGGCCCTGGGATGAGGCAGAAACATGGAAAGCACCTTTTCAACTCCCTGGAATTGTGCAGCCTTGTAAAAACCCCAATTCCAGGGATGGGGAGGGGGCAGAGGGAGAAATCCTGCCTTTTGCAGGGAAAACAATCCCATCATCCAAGAAGAAATGATGGGGGTTGAGGCTGTCTGGATCTGGGGGTGGCCAGGAGCAGGGTGGTGGGACAGGTCACCACTTCAGGGTCACTTTTCCCCAGTTCTTTCCTTTTTTCCTGCTTTTCCATTCCCACAGGAGCAGGATATTCCTGCCTGTCCTGGGGCTGAGATGCACAAACCCTCCCTGGAGTATTCAAGGGATGACCCCCGCCATGATCCCACCACTGTCCTGAATCCCAATTCTGCTCCCAGGACACCAAAAACCTAAAGAGGGCGGGGATAAAGCTCCAGGGGGATCTCCTGGTGCCTCCTGCACCAAAACCCATCTTCCCAAGGGACCCTTGGGAAAAGCCCACCCAAAATTCCTGTGCCTGCTCCCCTGTCACTGGAGGAGCTTTGTGACCCATTTAGGGGCCACAGAGACAGATCCCAGCCCTCCTCCTGCTGCTCCTCCTTGGAAAATCACCGGAGAGAGGGAGAAGAGGCTGCAGGAGGAAGGAATCCAAGCAAGCAGAGCATGCAGGGGAGGAGGATGAGACAGCTGCTCCCTTGGGATATTCCCATTCCCGGAGCTGTACGTACCAGCCTGTGGAAGAGGTCGGTCACCTTCACCTGGGAGAAGTTTGGAGATTTGATTTCGGGTTTCTGGTGCGTTTTGGCTGATGGGAGGGAGAGAAAAAGCACAGACAGGGGATGACCTCAGGCAGCTGGGGCAGCTGCTGCTGTCCCAAAGAGGGAGAATGTGACCCCCTAAGAGCCAGGACCTAAAATCCTGGAATAGTTTGGATTGGAAGTCAGGGATCATCCAGTCCTCTGTCCACAGCAGAACTCCCTGTGGAGTCTTCCCACCCACAAACCCCCTCCCCACCCACAAACCCAAAAAACCCCACTCACGATGGATGTCCGGAGCCTCTCCCGTCTCAAAGAAATCCTCCTCGTGGTCGATCTCGGAATATTTGCTCAGGGAGCGTTTGTGGGCGAAGGACAGGACCTCCTGCAGGATATCCATCTTCCTTAGGATCTTGCACAATCCATGGATCCTCATGGCCTCCTCGTGCTTCATGATGGCTTTTTTGAGGTGAGCTTTGCCTGTGAGGGAGCAGAGGGAGCTGAGCCCGACGGAGCAGCAGCTCCGGCGCCGTTCCCGCTCGGCTGCCCACGGATTTCAGGAGCGGTGCCACCACCCTGCTGTGACTCAGGGACAGCCCAGTCACGTTCCCAGCCCTAAATGGGGTCGGTCCCAGCTGATGGAGGGCTGGGAAGGGACCTTGAAGGGTGACCTACTTCGCTCCCCTGACGCCGGAGCTGGCAGATGTTCCTGAAAAACCACCCCCGACGTCCCTCCTCACGCTTAACCTCAATCTCCTGAGCAAATTAACTTCCCTCCATCGCCTCGGATCCCTCGGGAATGGGAACGTGGAGAACAACCCAGCCCCGTCCTCCTTGGGAAGGTGCAACACATCCCTGTTTTCTAGGCTAAACCTTTTCCTCGTCCTGCAGGTCCTGCTCTCCATCCTCTGCTCTTTGCTTCTCTGCACTTGCCTTCAACGTGTTCCCACCCTCGGGAAATGGAAGCGGTCGGGAAAGAGGAGCTGAAATTCCAGTGACCCACGGATATCAACGCAAAGAATCTCCTCCGTGGGAAACTGCAACCAAGGCAGCCGTATCCAAGGCTGAACTCCCAGAAAAGCTCTCTCCGCGTGTCTCATGGAAACACGTGTGCCTGTGGCATTTCACGCTCAGGACACACGGTGGCAACAGCATCCAGGGAGATGAGGTGTGCTCCAGACTCCCGGAATTCACAGCCAGAGGAACTTAACAAATGAGGGAATGTTTTGGAGTTGGATGGAAAACAGAGGAGACTTTCCCCTCTGAGAATTTTTATCAAATCTATAAAGTGTGAAATTGTGGGTAATAATAATAATAGTAATAATAATAATAGAATAATGGAACAGTTTGGGTTGAAAAAGACTTTAAAGCTCATCTCATTCCAACCCCCTTCCATAGGAAGGGACATCTTCCACCATCTCAGGTTGCACCAAGCCCTGTCTGACCTGATCTTGGACACCTCCAGGGATGGAGATCCACAACCTCTCCAAGTTTTTCCCTTCCTGTAAACCAAATCCAAGCTGAGCTTGGTGCCTGCACATCTATTTTTTACCAGGAAAGTTGAACAGAGCCCGTTTTCCCCAGGAAAAATCAGGCAGAGCTGGAAAAGCTGATGCCAGCCACATCTGAGGGTGTTGGGGTGGTGTCACCATAAACCACTTGGATTTTGGGGTTCATTTGGAGGTTTCCAGTGAAATCTGACTGAGCATCCTGAAGGATTTTGCAAACTCATTCCTGGTGGGATCTGCCTCCTTCCACAAGTGTGCAAGGAGGGAAAAGAGCTCCTGGGGGAGACAACACCCCAAATTCCAAGTGCTGAGTTTGCTCTTGATGCAGCTCTGTCGAGGAGGGGCTGCCAAAACACGACTTCAGCTGAATAAGCAGCGTCTGTTCTTTCCCTGGAGCTGAAATTCCGCATGGGAAGAAGTTCTTGTCTCCCAAGAATTCGCTGCAGCTGAAAAAGCCACCCCCTGAGCATCTGCTGTGTCTTGTTTTCCAGCCAAGTCAGCCCAAAACAAGGAGCTTCCAGAATCTCCCTATGGATTTCTCTGTAGTGTTGGGTGACTTTACCTGGCCTGGAACACCTGGAATTTCTCCTGTCAGAGCTGGACAGGTTAGAACAAGCACCATGAGCTGGTCCTCACACCCTCAAGGGGATTGTGATGCTTTCCTGCTTCCCAGGAGAAGAAACTTCCTGGGAAATTCCTCTTTTTATGGAGAGATCCCCCTAAAATCTCATAATCTGTGGGAATGGTGATGGGATCCAGGATTTTGTGCTCACCCAGCTTCCTCCTCTCCTCGGGATCCTGCAGCAGGACACGAAGTGATGGCCCCTCAGGCATGGTGACATGGAATTGCAGGAAAGCCCTCTCCTGCTCCAGCAGCTCAGCATCTGAGGGAGCTGTGGGGAGGAAACAGATGGGGATGGGATTAGGGACAGGTCATCCAGCCCCGTGTGGCAGAGGGGACAAGGGGACCAGGAAGTCCCATCCACATTCAGGTGGCCCTGGCAGCACCTTCCTGTCATCCAAGCACAGCCTGCAAGGAATTATGGAGGGGCACTGGGATGATCCCAGTCAGGGATGAACCAGGATCCAAAGTTAAGGGGAGGATTTTTCCTGAACAAAACTTTTCCCCCCCCCCCCCTTTCCTGCCTTCCTTTGCTCCAACGGGGAAGCAGGATTAGGAATAGAGAGCCCTGGGATTTCCTCACCTGGAGGTCACTGACATGGGGACAAATGAGACAACAAAACCAGGGAATCATGGAATGCTTTGGGTTGGATGGGACCTTCAAGACCATCCAATTCCAACTCCTTTCCATGGGCAGGGACACTTCCACTTGGCTCCAAGCCCCATCCATCCTGGCCTTGAACACTTCCAGGGATGGGGTAGCCACAGCTTCTCTGGGAATTCCATCCCAGTCCCTCACCACCTTCCCAAGAATTCCTTCCCAATATCCCATCTATCCCTGCCCTCTGGCAGTGGGAAGCCATTCCCTGTGTCCCATTACTCCATTCCTTGTCCAAAATCCCTCTCCAGTTCTCCAGGAGCTCCTTTAAGCACTGGAAGGGGCTCTAAGGTCTCCCTGGAGCTTTCTTTTCTCCAGCCCACAGTGCAACCAAGGGGGACAGTCCATGGAAAATCAGAGATGGATGCAGCTCTCCCAGGCTCTCCAAACCCCACACTAGGCTCTTTAAACCCTTTTTTCTAGTCCAAACTGTTCCTAATCCTCTTTGGTTCACTCAGGGTTGCATGTCAGCCCCTTTCCCTGGACAGAGAGTGGGATAAGAAACAACCCAGAATATTCCAGGGAGTTTTGTTGCTCCAAACAGAGGATCCCAAAGCCTGGTGAGCACAGGGATCCAGAGGGTTGGGAACTGGCAGCTCCAGGGCTGGCTCTCCCTGTGCCAGCTCCTGCCAAGTCAGCATCCCTGAGGGATCAAACTGCAGAGTAAGGAATTTATTCCCAGCTGGTTATGAAAGCAAAAGATTTGTTATTCTGACAAGGGAGAGGTGGGAACAGGAACATGAGATCCCAACAGGCAAAAAAAATTTCCAAAATTAGGCATCTCCTGCAGATTTCTGCTTCCCACAGTGCCTAAGAACACCAAAAAGTTTAGGGGAAATGTTTGCCCTGCCCCGTGGACCCCATAGAATCACATCTCCATCATCATCCTCTCCTGTTTGGATCTTTAAGCCCTTCCAGCTCTACATTATCTCCCTCTCTCCCATCTCCTTGCTTAATCCAGCTTCTGTAACACCCACACGGGACAAGGAAGATTTTGGGCAGGCTCTGGAGTGGGGGAGGGTGTGAGGACAGTCTGGCAGCCACTGGTGTCACTGTCACAGCGCTGGTTTTGGCAGCCAGCCCTCAAAAAGCTTGTCAGCCAGCCCCCAGGTGGCACCAAAAAGTCACCAGGAACATCTGCTGCCCACCCCCGGATCCTCTGCTCCATCCCAAAATTGCCCCCAGGGTGTTGGTGGTGGCACAGATAGAGATCAAGGGTCACATCACACTCCAAGTGACTCCATGGAACCGTGTGTACCTTGCTGCCACCACCCTGAGATTCCCAAGACATCCATCCATGAGGCTGGAAGTTAGATCCAAGGTATTTTTGGATTTATTTTTCATTTTTGAAGCCCTCGGCTGGCCCAGCACAAGGTGACCCAAAGGATGCTGGGCTGAGGTTGGCAGGCAAGTGACCCTGATTTCCCCACCCAGCCCCAAAGGGGACAGCAGGTGACATCCCTCCAGCAGCTTTTTCCTCCCCTTCTTAGGATTTTTTCCCTATGGAAACCAAAAATATGGGAAAATCTGGCTTGGGGATGCATTGCTGAGTCCATAAAGAAGATCCACATCTCAGAGCATTCCAAAAAACTTTGGGTGTTGTATCCATAACCTCTGTTTTGGGGAATCCCTCCCCAAAACCCAGGAGTAATGTGGAATTAGTACTTGGATGAGCAGGAAGCTCCCTGCAGGCTGGACACTCACCAGGGCAGTCACAGAGGGCGATGGCAGCGAAATAATGGGAGAGGGCTTTGAAATGTTCTGACTTGACCTGGACCATGGTGATCCAGGAGAAGGGAACATAATCCTTCACATGGGGCTGGCTCATGGTCTGGTGCACCAGGGAATAAACATCTTCCACCTGGGAAGAGAAAAGAGATGGGATGCAGGATGTGCCTCAGGAGACAGTGACAGCACATTGTGCTCTCCTGGAAGGTTCTGCCAAGCACAAAATCCCACCAAATCCTCTCCCTTCCCAAAATCCTCACCCTTGCTGCCTCCTGAGCCAGCTGCAGGCGGGTCAGGAAGTCGTTCTGGGCACGCAGCAAGGTCATCTTCTCAAAGACACACTCCTGGACCTGGGCCACCATCAGCCTCACCAGCATGGTCAGGGAGGCTGCACTCATGTCCAGGCTGGGAGCGTTGGAGAAGTTTTCCTTCAAGTAGTTAAAGGCACCTGGAGGAGAGGAAAGCTCCTGGATGTTACAAGGCTTGTGAGGAAGAGAACCAAAATTTGGGATCAGGCAGGTTTCCCTCCAAGAACATCAAACATCTTACTATTGATGGTGGGTAAGAAGATCTGAGGTCTAACCCTTGCCATCCTTGTGCCCAATTTCTTGTCTAAAGCCCTGGGTGACCCCAGTTCCAGGCTCTGGAATGGATGGATCAGCATCTCTCCCCTCCACAGCTGGGACATCCTTGGGGGTGGCTGTTGGATCATCCCAACTCCTCTTCCCAACCCACCCAACCGACGTGGAGCCAACCTCGTGCTCCACCTGTGATCCCTTGGAGATGCTTCTTCCTACAACTGCCCCCACCCCTTCCTGTGCTTCTCTGGATTATTCCCACTTTGGGAAAAGCTTCCTGGGAAGAGGAAGGAAGAGGTGCAGCCACTTACCAGCTGCCTTCTGGAAGGCATCGATGGCCTGGTTGAGGCCGGGCAGGGAGGCGCGGTCCTGCCGCGCTCCGATCTGGGTGTGCAGCGCCCCGAGATTGAAGAGGACACTTCCCTTCTCGAAGGCCAGAGCCCTCTGGTGGGATGGGACCCCTGTCAGGGAGTCGTACCTGAAGAAGGGAAGAGTCAACAGCTGCCCACCCCTTGTACATGGTCCCTAAAGTGTCCCCGTCATGGGCCACAAAAAGCGTCCTCACTCATGGAAAGGGTGTTGGAACTGGATGACCTTGAAGGTCCTTCCCAATCTAAACCACTCCATGATCCTCATGGATGCAGGAGGAGCCTGAAGGGTCTTCAGTACTCAGGTGGGCTTGCAGGCACCATTCCCATCATGGTACATCCCATGGGATTTGTGTTTCCCTCTCCCTCCCCAAATTAACCCACCCAAGGTGACAGCAAATCCAGATCCTGGTGTCCAGCAGCCCTGGCGGAGATTCCATCGTGGAAATTTGGATCCCCACTCCCTTCCCCACCCAGGTGGGACAGGGAAAGCTGCACCCACCAGTGGAAGAAGACACCCAAGGTTTTGGTGGGAGGGAAGAAGCGGCTGTCAAGGAAGTAGAGCTGGTTGTAATATTCCATCAGGAGCTCCAATCCGGCCTCGTTGCGGCTCGGGGTGCGCATGGCCTGTTGGAATGGCAGAGGAGACGTGGGTGGGAAAAGCTCCCTGGGACAGGTTGAGAGCCCTCAAAGAATGAGTGAGAGCTGGGAATGTCCAGCCTGGAGAAGAGAAGGCTCCAGGGACACCCCAGAGCTCCTTCCAGTGCCTGAAGGGACTCCAGGAGAGCTGGAGAGGGACTTGGGACAAGGGATGGAGGGACAGGACACAGGGAATGGCTTCCCACTGCCAGAGGGCAGGGAGAGATGGGATTTTGGGAAAGAATTCTTCCCTGTGAAGGTGGTGAGAGGCTGGAATGGAATTCCCAGAGAAGCTGTGGCTGCCCCTGGATCCCTGGAAGTGTCCAAGTCCAGCCTGGATGGAGCTTGGAGCAACCTGGGATAGTGGAAGGTGTCCCTGCCCATGGAAGGGGATGGAATTGGATGATCTTTAAAAGCCTTTCCAAGCCAAACCATTCCATGATTCTGAGATTCATCCATGGGGAAAGTCTGGGTGCTGGGACACCCAAATGTGGAAGCAGCAGCCTGGGAAAACTCATGGAAATTCTGATTTTATAAATCCTAAGGAGTAAACACGATTTTTTCCCCTCCTTTCCCAGACTACTTGAAATTTCCTTTTCTCCAAGGCCTACCTGGAGAGAAAGAAGTTGTTCAGCCTTAAGTACACCCCTTAATTCAGGAGTGAATTAATATTCATAAATTATGATTGTACTATAAATTTTATTACTGCTCATTTGTAGGTCAGCAGGGAATTGAGGACAGGAGAAATGAACAATTCCTGAATCATCTGTAATATTTTGGAACCTATAAACCAAGTCCAAGGTGCTCCAGCATGGAAATGCTGAACCCTGAAATACAAGGATAAATAAGGAATTTGGAGAAAGGATGAGGGGACCTCCCCCAAAGGAAAAGTGGCATCTCCAAGGAGTGATCCTGGACAAGCCAAACCTTGGAAGCCAAGGGACACCAACCTGTCGCAGCTCCATGAATTCCTTGATTTCCTTTTCAAACAGGACACCCTCCTCTCCATAGTGTTCACTGATGAAATCCTGGATTGGGAAACAGGAGAAAATCCTGATTTTTATGCTTTAAAGGGAGATTTCTGGCAATTCTGTATAAGAACTTTTTCTTTCTGCCCACAAGTAAACCTCCACTAAGTAATAACCTCCTCCCTTTCCTGCTCTCCAGAGCTTCATTTCCCACTTTCCCATGTTTTAAGTCCAGTTCCCCTCCATGAATGTATTTTTGGGAGCTTTTCCAAACTCAAAAATTAATTTCAGCTGTTTCAGCACTGATCAATGAAACCCCAAAGCTCACCTTGAGTGGTACCAGCAAATCCAGCTCCTTGGTCTCCTTGAGTCCCAGAGGGATCATGGGAACACTGATGGATTCACTGGAAAAAGACAAGAACCTGTTTGGTGGTTGGATTAAAAATCTTGGATGGATCCTGTGGGTTGGAGATTAAAAGGAAGCAGCTCCTTGCCCTGGGCTTGTGCTGCTCCTATTAAGAAAATACTCTTCCCAAAAAGATTTGGGAATGGCAGCACAAGAGGAAAGGTGCAAAAAAAAAAAAACCCCAAATAATTTTTCCAGCTCCTGCTTTTCAGAGGAATCCTGGATGTTGGGTAGGCAAGGCAGGATCAAACCCTCACCAACACAACAGCCCCCTCTCATTATGCCCCAAAGTTGCTGATAACTCATTAATTAATCATTAATCAAGGAAGAAAAGAGGCAAAGGAAGTTATGAAAACCAGGAGAACAAGACAGGGAATTTTCACCCACGTTTTCCTTGGAACAAACAGCTCCAGAAGCTATAATTAGTGCAGAAAGCCATTACTGCTCATTCCCTAACGAGAATTCCAATGGAATCCAATGCCTGGAATAAACAAAGGGGTTTTTGTTTGGCCTGGGCAGGGTTTGGGGTTGTTATTGCTGCTCCTGATTTCTTTTCAAACCAGGGCAAGCAAGTGGCAAATTAGGAAAACTGAGCATCCCTGATAGGGAATGTGCCTGGAAAAGCACGTGGATGGACACGAAAATGTGGAATTGTGAAATGGTTTGGGTTGGAAAGGGATTTTAAGATCATCCATTTTCATTCACTGCCATGGGCAGGGACACCTTCCACAGGACCAGATTATTCCAAACTCAATCCAACCTGGCCTTGGACACTTCCAGGGATCCAGGGGCAGCCACAGCTTCTCTGAGAATTCCATTCCAGGGTTTCACCACCTTCACAGCCAAGATTTTCTTCCCCAAAATCCCATCTCTCCCTGCCCTCTAGCAGTGGGAAGCCATTCCCTGTGTCCTGTCCCTCCATCCCTTGTCCCAAGTCCCTCTCCAGCTCTCCTGGAGCCCCTTTAGGCTCTGGAAGGGGCTCTGAGCTCTCCCTGGATCCTTCCCTTCTCCAGGCTGGACATTCCCAGCTCTCCCAGCCTGGCTCCAGCCTTCAGAGCATCTCCATGGCCTCCTCTAGACTTGCTCCTGCAGTTCCACGTCCTCCTGCTGTTGGACCCCAGAGCTGGATGCAGAATTCCAGGTGGGGTCTCACCTGAGCAGGGCAGAGGGGCAGAATTCCCATTTCCCTGCTGCCCATGCTGTGGGATGAGCCTGGGACAGGGGGGATTTCTGGGATGTGAGTGCACATGGATGAGGCATTTCCAGCTTTTCATCCACCAACACTCCCAAATCCTTCTCCTCAGGGTTGCTCTCCATCCCTTCAGCCCCCCAGCCTGGATTTGGGCTTGGAATTGCCCCGTCCCAGGTGCAGGATGTTGCACTTGGGTTTGTTGGACCTAACGAGGTTCATCTGGATCTTATCCAGGTCCCTCTGGATCCCATCCCATCCCATCCCATCCCATCCCATCCCATCCCATCCCTCAGCCATGTCACCCACACAACACCTCAGCTGCCATCCAACCCCACCCACCTCAGGAAGGCAAAAGGAGGAAAAAAATCCCAGTATCCCAAAATCATTTAGGCTGGAAAAGACCTCCAAGATCATCGAGTCCAACCTGTGACCAATCCCACCCAGCTCAGAGCACTGAGTGCCACATCCAGTCATTCCTTGGACACTTCCAGGCATGGTGATTCCCATTACCAAAACATCCTGTTGGGAAGAGCTCTGGTGGGATTGTCAGGAAAGGGGGACAATACAAGGGAAGATGGTTCTTTCTTCCCTATTCCTCCTGCTTTGGGACATCAGTGTCCAAAGGATGCTCCATCTATCCCAAAACATTCCCTAGGAAAAGCAGATTTTTTTTCTCACCTTGCAGCTCTAGAAGGGAATCACTGATACTCCCTTTTCAGGAATTCTGGCCCCTGCCCAAATCCTCCCTATCCTCCAGCCACCACCTCGTGGTCCCTGACCATGGAAAGGTTTGGGAACCTCTAAAGGTCATCCCAACCCTCAGCCATTGGACAGAGCAGGGAGGACAAGACCAGAGGAGCCTTGCTCCCAGAAAAATTCCTTAACAGTGGGAAAAGTGAAATCCCAAGGGAATAGGCTGCTCTTCCCAGACCCACCTGTCATTCTGGTACACGTCCACGCTGCTGTTGAGCTCTTCCAGCTCTTCCTTCAGGAGCTGAAGGTTGGAGTTGACATAGCTCAGCTCCAGAGCCACTGTTTCCTTCACCTTGTGGTTGCTGGTGGCCCTGCAAGAAACCAATGGATCAAATTTCCCTCTTTTTATCCATGAGTTTATTTTTTTCCACTCCAGGCTCAGTTATCCAGCGGTGCCAATCCATGTGCATCGAGCCCAACCTTCCCACAGGATTGTGCCTCTGGTTCTCCAGGTGATGATGGAAAGGTTTGGGTGGGATGGGACCTCTGAGGGTCATCCCATTCCAGCTCCTGCCATGGGACACCTTCCACTATCCCAGGTTGCTCCAAGCCTTATCCAACCCGGACTTGGACACTTCCAGGGATCCAGGGGCAGCCACAGGGAAGAATTCCCTCCCAATATCTGAGCTATCCCTGCCTCTGGCAGTGGGAAGCCATTCCCTGTGTCCTGTCCCTCCATCCCTTGTCCCAAATCCCTCTCCAGCTCTCCTGGAGCCCCTTTAGGCACTGGAAGGGACGCTGAGGTGTCCCTGGATCCTTCTCTTCTCCAGGCTGGACATTCCCAGCTCTCACAGCCTTTCAGGATTAGGGAAGTTTGAACATCCAGGTAAAGGCTGAGCCCAGGTAAAACTCACTGCAGTGCTGCATCCAGGAATTCCTGCTCCAGAACCACCTTCCCCTTGCCCATTCCAACTTCACCCCCAGTGCAGCTTCAGCTTTGGCTGTGACCAATCCAGGTGCTCCCCCATCCCAAATAAACAGTGGGATTTGAGGAGGAAAAAACTAATTTTTGGGTGCACAGAATCCTTGTGGAAAAGAAAGGATTTGTGAGCTCCTGCCCTCCCTTCCCTGCTCCTGGCAGGAGCTGTAAACACCAGGGATTGATTCCAGCTGTCCCCAGCAGGACAAGCTCCCAGGCTGATTATTCCCTGCTTATCTCCTCCAAAGGAAAGCAGGGAAAGATAACCCAGAGCTGAAAGGGGCTCTGGCTGCTGAACCACGCTGGGATCCAAAGAAAACAATACATGGACAAGCCCTGCTCCACCAGGAAACTGCTTCCCTCCAGCTTTTCCAGAGTATTGCCTTTGACATGGATTTTTTATGGATTGAATCCTTCTGGGTCTTGCCCTGTCCTGATTCAGGGCAGCAGAAGCAGCTCCAGAGTTTTCCTTTGAAAATCTGGTGGTTCAGTCTCCTCCTGCCTCCCCTTTGCCAGGATTTTCCAAGAGCAAGGAATTTTTGGATTCTAAACAAACCAAGCCAAACCACAGCACATCCAAAGATCCCTGTGGCTGCTTCCACTGAAAAATCCTTCAGCATTCCTGCAATTCCCCAGGCAGCATCACCCTCTGTTTCCACATAAACCAGGATTTAATTCCTATTTATCCCCCACACATCCCAACACCTCCAGGACACTGTTGGTCTGATTTTCATCCCATATGGATTAAAGAGAGTTTTCCCTCCTTATTCCCAGCTGCCAACAATTTCTTTGGCTCTCAGCAGGCCCCTGATTATTTTCTAGGTGTCTTAGCACAGTTTCCAGCAGGATCTGCTCCATGATTTTGTCAGGAATCTGTTACCAGGTAAAAGCTTTCCTGGGGTACCTGCAAGTGCCACATGCAGCAAATAATACTGGAATGGGTTGGGTTGGAAAGGATCTTCAAAATCATGGAATTCCACCCCTCTGCCACAGGCAGGGACACCTTGCACTATCCCAGGTTGCTCCAAGCCCTGTCCAACCTGGCCTTGGACACCTCCAGGGATCCAGAGGCAGCCACAGCTTCTCTGGGAATCCATTCCAGCCCTTCACCACCCTCACAGGGAAGAATTCCTTCCCAATATCCCATCTAATATCACCCTATCCCACTCTAAAACCATTCCCTCTTGTCCTGTCCCTCCATCCCTTGTCCCAAGTCCCTCTCCAGCTCTCCTGGAGTCCCTTTAGGCTGGAAGGGGCTCTGAGGTTTCCCTGGATCCTTCTCTTCTCCAGGCTGGACATTCCCAGCTCTCCCAGCCTGGCTCCATCCCTCAGAGCAGCTCCATGGCCTCCTCTGGATCTGCTCCAGCAGCTCCAGGTCCTTCTGCCTTTAGACCCCAGTGCTGGATGCAGAATTCCAGGTGGGATCTCACCTGAGCAGGTCAGAGGGGCAGAATTCCCCTTTTCCTGCTGCCCACACTGTGGGATGAGCCTGGGACACTGGGAATTTCTGGGATTTATTTTGTGATTTATTTTTCTTTCTTTCCAAAATCCTGGACATTTTTATCTCCCCCATTCCTTCACTCCATCCCAGTGTTTGAGCAAGGAAGGAAAAGCTTTGCTCTGGCTCTTCCCATTGATTTACCCAGCAAACAAATCCACTGAGCAAACATCACATGGATTTTCTTTTTTCCAACACCCCATTCCTGCCAACTTTTCTGGGAAAAGACATGGAAAGGCTGAACAGGATAATTTTTTCCAAGCTTTGGGGTAGTTTGTCTTTAAATTTGAAGGCAAAATCCTAACAAATTCAGCTCAAAACTGTTCCAGGCTGGACAATCCAGTTTTTTTTCCATCAGCACCAGGCTAAAGATCCAAAGGAATTTTATCAATGCACCACAAACCTTTAATTTTGAAGCAATAACTTTAGACTTGCAACATAATCCCCCCTCCCTCCTCCTCCCTTAATTTCAAGCTTGATTATTCCTTTTTCTCCCCCCACCCCGAGATTTCCCAAGTTTCATAAGCCTGGAGCACAGGAATGCCGAGAAATCAACTTTATTACTCAGCTGGATTTGTGGGAGGCAGGGAGGGAGGGAAAGTGGCTGCTCCAAAGGACATCCAAAGTCCTGAGCCAGCAAAAAAAAAGCCCCCTCAGTGCATTTCCCTGATAATTAAGATGTGTTTTGCATCCCGTTTTTCCTCACTCCCCTCTTCCCACAGCTCCAATTCCAACCAAAACCAGGCTGATTTCTGCTGAGCCAGCACACTTCTCTCCTTTTTCTTTTTTCTACTATAACACAGCAGAGGCAGAAGTTGGGATTCTGTGGCTTTTTTTCCTTAATTAAATGAGGCACAGCAGCGTGGATGGAGCAGTGGGATCTCATCCCCCAGGAAAACATCATTTTTTTTAATGGATCAACCATTATCCCCTTCTTCCAGGTGCAACAGGAACATTCCACTGGTGTTAAATCATTCCAGTTCCAAAGTGGAAAGTTAATTTTATTTTAGTTGGGATAAAAACAATCAACAAGTTGGGAAAATATTCCCAAAAAATGTAAGGCATTAAATTAAAGGAATTTTAAGGCAGATTTATGGATTTTTTTTATAGTAAAGACCCACCTAGCCTGGAATGTGCTCCAAAATATTAAGGAAAAATGAAATAAACACAGAAGATGCTAGAAAAAGTTATTCTTGGGATAAAATCCCTGTGGCTGTGGCACCTGGGGACAAGCGGTGGCCTTGGCAATGCTGGGGGAATGGCTGGATTCAATCCTGAAGGGATTTTCTATTTATGATTCTAAAGCTGGATTTCATGGAATGGTTTGGGGTGGATCTGCAGAAATCTCCAGTTCCACCCTCAGCCTTGGGCAGGGACTTTTCCCTATCCCAAGCTCCTCCAAGCCCCATCCAACCTAGGCTTGGACACTTCCAGGGATTCAGGGGCAGCCACAGCTTCTCTGGGAATTCCATTCCAGCCCCTCACCATTCTCCCAGGGAAGAATTCCTTCCCAATATCCCATCTAACCCTGCCCTCTGGCAGTGGGAAGCCATTCCCTGTGTTCTGGTACTCCATTTCTTATCCCAAATCCCTCTCCAGCTCTCCTAGAGTCCCTTTGGGAACTGGAAGGGGTTCTGAGGTCTCCTTGGAGCTTCCTTTTCTCCAGGCTGGACATTCCCAGCTCTCCCAGCCTGGCTCCAGCCCTTGGAACATCTGGACTCACTCTAAAAGCTCCATATCCATTGGATCCACTTGCTGGATTTTCAGGCTGGAGCTCAGCATCCCAAGCCCAACCTCAGCCACAAATTCATTCCCCCTTATCCCATCTGCTCCCATCCTGCTTTTTTAACAACCTCCCATCAGCTGAATCTTGGATATCAAGACTCTGCTCCTGTCTCCAACCAAATTCCAGAGGCAGGAGGAGGCTCAGGGGATCAGGACTCACCGGAAGAGATTTTCTGCTCCTGCTCTCATCCTCATTTCCTTGTTGATCTGTTGGTTGATCCGGGCCCTGCGGTGCTGGAGTTTGCTGCGCTGGGTCTGGGCAAAGGGGTCACAGCCCTGCTGAGAGATAAGGACAGGGTCTCATCCCAAATCCATGTTCTGGGATTCAAAGAAATCCATCAGATCCATAAATTGTGCACTTTCAGAGCCCAAAGTCACGGAATGCTTTAGGTTGGAAGGGAGTTTAAAGATTATGGAATTCCATCCATTTCCATGGGCAAGGACACCTTCCTCTATCCCAGGTTGCTCCAACCTGGCCTTGGACACTCCCAGGGATGGGGCAGCCACAGCTTCTCTGGGAATTCCATTCCAGCCCCTCACCACCCTCACAGCTAATTCCTTCCCAATATCCCATCTAATCTCACCCTATTCCCATTTAAAGCCATTCCCTGTGTCCTGTCCCTCCATGTCTTGTCCCAAGTCCCTCTCCAGCTCTCCTGGAGCCCCTTTAGGCTCTGGAAGGGGCTCTGAGGTCTCCCTGGATCCTTCCCTTCTCCAGGCTGGACATTCCCAGCTCTCCCAGCCTGGCTCCAGAGCACAGAGGCTCCAGCCCTTGGGTCACCTCAGTGGTCCCCTCTGGAATTGCTCCAGCAGCTCCAGGTCCTTCTGAAGTTGGACCCCAGAGCTGGATGTAGAATTCCAGGTGGGATCTCACCTGAGTAGGGCAGAGGGGCAGAATTCCCCTTTTCCTGCTGCCCATGCTGTGGGATGAACCCAGGCCACTGGGAATTTCTGGAATGTGAGCACACCTGGCCGGGTCATGTTGAGTTTCTCACCCCCCCCCAAGACCCTCCCCAGCCCTTGGAGTAACCATTTTATTCCCCAATCCCAGGTGCTGCCAACAGGGATTTCTTTCCCTGAACTCAGCCTTGAACAGGAATTCCACATCCCCTTCCCAGACTCTGGACATGAGCCAAGATCCAGGGGGGCTGGACATGAGCTCAATATGACCCCAAAAGCTCAGGAAGAAATGTGATCCCAATGCCATCTCCGGGATGTGGAGCACAGGGAGTCAGGAGTTCACGGGGCTGCAGGAATGAGGAGCACACGGCACTAAATTGATCCCATCCTTTCTGCCTCGGAATTCCTGCAGACAGGGAAAACATGCTGAATTCCCCACTTCAGGAAATAGCAGCCACCAAATCTCCCTCTGGCTCACAGGGTTATTATGGGATGCCTCGGGGAATGGGGCTGCCATGAGGAACATCCCTGAATCCAGGGCCATAAAAGTGGGGACGATTCCTATTGTGCAATGGAAGATTTAGAGGCATGGAATGAGCCTCTGGAAGATCTATGGAGTTAAAAAAAAAAAAAAAAAAAATCCTTGGTTGAGAAGGCACAAAACTGGGAAGTTTAAGGGCATGGAAAGTTCTGAGCCTGAAAAGCACAGGAAGATCCCAAAATCATGGAATGGTTCGGGTTGGGAAAGACATTAAGGATAATCTCATTCCAACCCCTTCCCTGGCTTGGAATTCCCAGAGAAGCTGTGGATGCTCCTGGAAGTGTTCCAGGCCAGGCTGGAGGGGGCTTGGAGCAACCTGGGATAGTAAAAGGTGTCCCTGCCCATGGAATGAGATAATATTGAAAGTCCCTTCCAAACCAAACCATTCCATAATTCCATGGAATGATTGATCCCCTCTCTGGTGGGACCTGGCAAGGAGGAAATGGAAAATTTTGCATTTCCATAGACTTCAGCTTCCTTAAAATTAATTCCTCATATTTGAAATCCACTGAGCACTGCTTTCTTTGGAAAAGGGTCTGGGATTAATATTGGGATTTTCATTTAAGAGAAAAATTGGAGCTCCTAATTGTTCCCTCATAGACTGAGGAATCAGAGTGACTCCAGCTGGTCCATAAATCTGTGGGATTAATGCTCTACAGTGATCCCTGAATTTGATGAAAGGAGCAAGCTGGAAGCGTAAGATCCCAATGATACTGGAAAAGCAGTGGGATTTGAGGAAAACACCCCAACAGCTGCATAAATCTTGGGTCTGAAACACTCAGGAGCAAATAGAGGAAAGTTTAATCCAAAATTGCCACTTCTGGATTTGTCCTGAAGGGAATCCAGCCTGTTGACTCCCTAGGGAAAAAAAAATCTAGGAATCAGAGGAAAAAGGAGAAAGGATCAGGAAATCAACACCAAGATTAGGTGTTCATTTAAATTTCAAGGTTTAATTTCAAATTTCAAGATGAGGTCTCCGAAAGCTTGACAGATCCACAGGCAACATATGCAAATTTATCCAAATATATGCAAATGAGACAGTTCCAGGCTCCCTCTCTGTGCCTCCAGAGCCACAGAAATCCATGCAAAGCTCAACAAGTGGGAAGTTTCTCTTCTCCAACGCCAGCTCTTCCTGCAAATTCCAGCACCCTGGAGTCCTTTCCACCTCTGGTAAAGGTTTGTTTGGAAGCAGCCAGAGGATTTAAAGGGAATTTTTGTGGGGAAAAGGAGCAAAAACCACCTGGAGACACAGGGAAGAGGCCTGGGAAGTGGAGGTGGGATGATGAAAAAGGTACAAGTAGAAGGATTATCCAAAGCCAAAATAAAGATTCTTTTCTGGAAGGAAAGCACCAATAATGAAGGAAGGAAAGGAGTGGGATGCAGAAGACACTGGGATGGCTCCACGAGATATTCCAAGAGGGTTAAAACCTCTTCTCTGTAGGAGCCATGAAAGGATTTAGCAAATTGATTTGACTTCTCCTGCTGGGAAGAACTAAAGCTCTTCATGGAGCTGTGAGGGTTTTTCCCCTGGATTTTCCATCAGATTTAATGGGATAAGTTCTCAATCCCTATCCAGACTCCTAAGCCAGCAGCAAAAAGGTGCTGGAAAAGCAGGAGCCCCCTGATAGAAACCCAAAGCTTCGTGAGGTTAAGTCAGGAATTCAAGATGAAGCATTTCCTGTGATCTCCACACATTTTGTTTTCCTCAACATTTATGAGGCTGGCAAAGTGCAGGAATAAGAGATTGTTGTGCATTTTCCCTCAAGAGGCTCTGCCTTGATCCCCAAAAAAATCATCCCTGGCTTGTATGGATCAATAGAAACATCATTCCACGAGGAACAACCAAGCCTCATCTGCAGGAGCTCCTGGAGCATCACAGAAATGTTCTAATTCCACAAATCTTGGAGCAAGAAAGAAATTTGGCTCCAGGAAAGCATAAAAAAAGCACCTTTAAATCCAAATAAAAATGAGGAAAATAAGGAATCAAGGAAAGAGCATTCCACCTTCCAACAATTCAAAGGATCCCAAAGCTTTTCCTGTCAGAGTTCCAACTGAAAACTAAAAGCCACGGAATGAGTTTCCAGGGATTTAAGCGTGACTTACATAAAGGGGAAAAAAAATCCCCCTAAAATCCCACTGTTAGGTTCCAAAAGGGATTTTCCTCACTGAATTCTTCTCTGCTCAAGCTCTTGAGGTCAGCCCTGTAAGGTCAGAAGAAATAGGGGCTCTTTCATCCAGGCTTTGGGGTGCACCTGGGGACACCTTGAAAAGGGAATTTGGGGGTTTAAGAAGTGGTTCTGGAGAGAAACAGACTTTTCCTTACTGGTTTAAAGGAAGAATAAGAACAGAAATCTTCCACAAATTGTGGAGGAGCCATGGAACAGCAGCTTTTATTTGTACACAGGGAATAATGGATCAGAAATCCGTGAAAATGAGTGAGGTGTGGCCAGCTCTGATGTTTATCACCCGTGACAAAGCAGGATTAAGGTCAGGAATTGGACTCTGTGATCCCAATGAGTCCATTCCAATAGGATATGATTTTATTGGGGAAAGGCTCTTGAGGGCCATAAAAATCAGGGGAAATCCCTCACGTGGAAATGATAATGGAACCAAAAATCCAGGCTCTCACGTGAGGGGAAAAAAGATTCCATATGACCATTTCCAGAGGGAATCAAGACCAAGAGCTCCCCTTTGAAGGTCATCAAGGATTCTCCAGCCTTATCTTTACAGGGAACTTTTTGGAATGACTCAAGGGTGTTTTTTCACCTCCATCCACCTCTCCCAGTTCCAGAGGGTCCATTCAGGGCAGCAATTATCAGTCCTTAGGGAATGTTTGCTCAGGATAGACTTTGAACTTCCCACCCCCAGGAGATGAAGCTTTGGGTGACTCCTGGGTGACAGCCACACCCCGAGAGTGATTTGTGACCTCGGTGACAAAAACAAGGCTGTTTTCCAGCACTAGGGACAAACTGAATCACCTGGAGGAAGAGCTGGAAGCCACTGAGTCCAAAGGGTAATTCCATGACAAAGAGATTGTTCCTGCTCCTTTGTAGCTGGAAGCAACAGAGGAAAAGCGAAACTGAAGGATATTAAGTGAAATGTGAGGAGGGAGAACTGGGATTCTTGGAAGTGCTGTTCAAGTTTCAAGGAAGAGAGAAATGGAGATGCAGTTCCTGAAGAACTGGCACAGACCAGGAATGTACTGGTAAAATCCAGGCATGGATCTCTCCAGAGAAATGAGGATGGGGTTGGTAACTGGGAGTTATAGCCCCAGCAGGAATTACAGGAAAAGCTCCTGGAGATACTGGGAGAATCTGGCTGGATCCCAGAAGCTGCTCCACAGCTCAGCTGCCTGAGACTGGACCAAGCTGGGCCAGTCCAAGACCAGTTTTGGCCACAAAGGAGTCACCAGCAGGATTCCTCCCAATTAGGGGAACTGGGGAATGCCCACAGAGAAACTCAGGAAGTTTAATTTGCATGGAGACTCGAGACATCCATAATGTGGGAAGAGGAATGATCAGCAGGTGCTGAGCTCAGCTCCACAGGCAGCCCCACCTTCCCATTGCCAAGGACAGGGAAGGAAGGGAAGCAGGACTTCAGCCAGTCTGGATCACTGCCATGGGTGTGGAGAAGCACATGGAGACCCTTTCGTGCCAGGAAAAGGGATATTGAAGGGATGATGGAATCATGGAATGGTTTGGGTTGGAAGAAACCTTAAAGATCATGGAATTCCACCCCCTGCCATGGGCAGGGACTCCTTCCACTATCCCAGGTTGCTCCAAGCTCTAACATGGCCTTGGACACCTCCAGGGATGGGGCAGCCACACATCCCCTGGGAATTCCATTCCAGCCCCTCATCACCCTCAGAGCCAAGAATTCCTTCCCAATATCCCATCAAATCTCACCCTATTCCCATTTAAAGCCATTCCCTGTGTCCTGTCCCTCCATTCCTTGTCCTAAGTCTCTCCTGGAACACCTTTAGGCACTGGAAGAGGCTCTGAGATTTCCCTGGATCCTTCTCCAGGTGAACATTCCCAGCTCTCCCATCCTGGCTCCAGCCCTTGGAACATTTCTGTGGCCTCCTCTGGATCTGCTCCAGCAGCTCCACATCCTCCTGTCCTTGGTGCCCAAAGCTGGATCACAATCCATGATCCCAGCCCCATGGTCTGCAGCTCCAACCTCAACCCCATAAATTTTTCCCACTAAACACCTATATCATCTCCCACTCCAAAAAAAAAAAAAAAAAAAAACCCAAAAAAAACCAACCCAGGGATGATTTATTTCCAAGCCCTCTCAGCAGCATTTCCTAACAGAGTTTTTCCTCCAAACAGGAAGTATCCAAGAGCACGGATGATGCAGCAGCTGGAAAGCCTGGAATAGGATAACTCTGAGCACCTGCTTTAATCCCACAACCACGCTGGTCTTAAAAGCATTTTCACAGAGCTGTCAGCTGGAATTTTTATTCCTCTTTGGAATCCACAAGTTTTTGAGTCAGGCCAGCACAGGAGAAGTGGCCAAGTAACTCTGCTTTAGCCACATTATCCCATGGGATAGAGAGGAAAACAAAAGCCAGGGAATCATTCCACACACAAAAACAGGCTTGGAAATTCTCTCTTTTTTTTTTTTTTTTCCCATGGTTATCCAGCATTTCCTTCCTTTTTTTCCCAGCCAGAAGCATTTAAGAAATTAATATGAGCTGTTATAAGACAAGCAAGAAGTGACATAAAGTGAGTTTTTACTCCCTGAAAACCTATTTAGATAGGAAATTCCCTATCATGGAATTAATCTCGTGGAGCACCCTGGCTCTGAGCTGGGTTTCTGTGGGAGACAGGAGCAGCTAAAACCTCTAAAACCTTTTATTGAGAATATGGTTACATCACAGAGCCTTTGAACAAATGAGGGGAGGATTAAGGTTTTAAATTTCCCAAGTGGCCTCACTGGTGGTTCATGCAGTCAGCAAGAGGAAGAAAAAAATAAACCCAGGGGTAGAAATAAAAATCTGGGGGATTGGGGGTTTTAAACAGCACCAACTGCAGCTAAAAATTGAATTTTAGGAGGGTGAAAGTGCTCTGAGGAGGTGAGGGAGGCACAGAGTCAGGGCAAGGTGCCAGCAGGAAACAGGTGGATTAAGTCTTCACTCCTAGGACAGAAAACTTGGCAAAAAAAGGATTAAAAAATCACTTTTTCAGCAGCATTCAGGATCCCCTGCAAGGGAGAAAATACAGATCCACGCTCCTGATGTTGTCAGGGTGATAAAAACAACAGGAAAAGGTTGTATTGATAATTTATTTTAAACAATAACAAAAATAAAGTGCTAGAGCAGATCAGGCATTCTGATGCTTTAATTAAAAAACAATCATATTATGACAGAGGCTGCTGATGCCCTGCCCAGTTCTCCCTCAAAAGCTTGGTAATATTTTCCATGTTTTTCTCCAGGCCCAAAGAGAAAAAAATTGGGGAAAAAAAGTCCCAAATCCCTCCTGTTAATCTTCCCTCACGAGCAGCACCTGCTCCTTAGACAAGGCCCCCAGTTAAACCCCGACCTGGTTTAAGGTTGCAACCCCTTGAGCTGCAGCCCAGGTTCAAGTGACTCCAGATCAGATTGATCCAGGGAAAAAAAAAAAAAAAAAAAAAAAACCCACCAAAAAAATAAACAACAAACCTTCCAAAGTTTGGTTTTCTTGGTTATTTGGGATTTCTTTTTTTTTTAGGGGTGTTTTAGGACTTTTTGCAAGAAGAGCTCAGATTATGGAGTGAACTCACTTCTGGTTTATCCCATTGGATCTCAGGGGGAAAAAACACTTAAATAGACCCCAAAATTCAATGTTTTCCATGTTTTCTTGCTCTCATGACCCCAAGAAATCAGGGACTAGTGGCAGCCTGAGGACAATTCCCACCGATTCCATCCCAATTGTTGCTAATTAAACAAAGATGCCAGCAGAGCAATCAGCCCCATCTCTCCTGCATATCCCGACTTTCCTCCCAAGGAAATAAACTCCTCGGGAAGCACCACCTTGCCCAGCACCTGGCTGGATCAGCTTCCCGCAGGCAACAAGGAAGAAAAAAACCAAAATATTGGGGAATTAAGTGAAAAGCAGGCACTGGGAAGCTTGGGGATGGAGCCAGCAGAACAGATGGGATTCAAGAGTGGAGTTTTAGGGACGAGGAGCTGGGAGGGAGTTGTTTAGGGCTGTTTATGGGGCAGAACAACATTTCCACCCCTAGCAGGGCCGGATGTCCCTGTGCTCCCATCCATGGGGACAGCCATCCCTATGGATGGGACAGGGATATGGCACCAGCCCCAGCCCATCCTCACCTTGCGTGTGCTGCCGCTCTTCGGGCCATGCAGGAGGACGAGGCCACTGTCCCTGTCCCCATCCGGGCTCTCCTCCTCGGGGGGCATCATCTCCTCCAGGGATGCAACATCCACAGGCTGGGAATGGGGGGCTGGAGCTGGGGGGGGCTCCTGCTTGAGCTCACGGTGGGGTTTGGGCGACCCCTCCTTTAGTCCCACAGGGGTCCAGATCCCAGGCTTGTCCTAAATGGGGGTTTAAACCCCCCCCTAATCTCTGCTTTGCGCTGTTGCAAAGCTCCCTGCACTTAACATCTGGCCAGATGTGAGCCCACAGCTTTCACTCCCCCAGCAAAAATAATTTAGGTAAAAAAGAGGGGGCACAGACCCCACAGACCCTCTTTGTAAAGCTACCCCAGGTAGGGGGATGTTAAATCCCACCAGACCCTAAATGGGGGATGTTTAAACCCCCCCAAAACCCGCTTGGAAGAGCTATTCTAGATAAAAGGGAAAAAAGGAGTTTAACCCCCCCAAACTGTCCTGGCAAAGCAACCCTAAAGACGGGAATGTTTAAACCCCTACGAACTCTCCTTGCAAGAGTTACTCTAAATGGGATGGGGGGGTTTAAGCAGGGGTCAAACCCCCTAAAAACCCCTTTAAAAGGCGACCCCAAATGGGGGGGACCCCTTCAAACCCTCTTTGCAGAGCTATCCTAAATAGGGAGAAGAAGTTAAAACCCTTCCAAAGCCCCTTTTCAGAACTATCCTAAACACAGAGAATTTAAACCCACCTCGTACAGTGATCCCCGAGGCTGACCCCAGATCTCGCAGCGCAAACACCCCCGAAATCCCCCTTCTAAAGATGCTCCAGCCAAGGGGACCCCCCCCAAAACTTCCTTCCAGAGCCAAACCCCACCGAACTACAACCCCACAGCCCTTCCCCGTACAGACCCCACCCTGGAGTGCCCCGGGACCCTCCAGCCGTGGCTGTGTCCCCGCTCACCCCCGGTGCCCCCTCAGGCCCCGCCAGCCCCAGAGCGATCGCGGCGGCTCTGCCGAGAGCGGGGCATAAGCAGGGCGGAGGGGCGGGACTTAACTGCGGAGCAACCAATGAGAGAGTGGTCTAGCTTGATTGACAGAAGAACTGCCCAATAGAAGCGCGGGATTGGGAGAGGCGGCCGGGGGGAGGAGCGGAGGGGCCGTTGCCCGTGGCAACGGTGGGAATTAGAACGCGGTGACGTCACGGTGGGCGGGGCTCTAAGCCACGCCCACAGGCACGCCTGGACTCACCGCCCCCCCCCCCCCCCCCCCCCCCCCCCCCCCCCCCCCCCCCCCCCCCCCCCCCCGGCTCCACATCTAGATGGGCTCCGGTCCCGGTCCGGACACATCTGGATGATCCCAGTTAAAAACAAGGGGCGCCTCCCCCATCCCGGCCACATCTGGACGACCCCCGACTCCAGCCAGGCGACCTGCCCCGCTCCAGCCACGTCTGGGCCTGTCCCCACTGCCTGCTTCACATCTGGGGGCTTGTCTGTTCCCACCCCGGCCACATCTGGATGGCCTCACCTACCACAAGGAGCCCCCGCCCCCATCCCAGACACATCTGGGCTACTCAACTTCTAACCAGGTGTCCTCCCTCACCCCCCTGGCCACATCTGGGAGGTCCCCCCCTCATTCTGCCCCTGCAATCTCTGCACCCCCCCGCCTTCCCCTCAACATCTGGGCTGCTGTGCCCTTGCCCTGTTGTAGCCATGCTAGCTGGTCTTCTATAAACCATTGTTTAATATGAAATACAATAAAAAATAATAAAGAAATAAAATCAAATCCAAAATTATTCCTTTCTGCAGGCAAATCCTGCCCCATATTCCCACTCTGAACCTTTGTCACCGACCACAAGAAGGTCCCTGAGTCTCTACACGGGCCACAGTGAAATTAAAGAGTGATAAATCCCATTCATATCAGTGGGACACAGGGAATTCTGTGCAGATCCAGCTGTTTATTGGGTGGAAAATTTTAGCCCAGGATACATTAAATATTTTATAGGGTGTGGATTTATTTTATGACTGCATTTATTAAACCCATTCCACCTTTCCCAGTTATTTTTACTCATCAGGGCTTCAAGGACTGTGTGATCCTGAGGAAGGGCTTTTCTCCCTCCAGGATTTTCCAATCCAAAAGAAACAGCTATACTGGAAAAGTGGAATTACTGATTAATGTGGAATATTTTATGGATACATCCCCCAACAGCTGCTG